AGGAATTTTACAGCAAGCTCACAGTTGCTTTAAATCAGAAAAGTTGGCAAGTATCCGAGGAAAGGAGTGGGAGCTTATTTAGCTGAGAGAGACAGTTACAAAACTCAATACAAGATCATCATGCTTCAAATAAGTTTTCACAAAGTGTATTATTTGTCACCGTGGTGTTTATATTTGTTTTAAAGGATTTTGAATCACCAACAATTGCCTGTTGGCTTGAATTTACAACTCTTACAACGCTACCCAAAAGAAGTGTGTTGCTTTCCCTGAAAAACCTGATGTCATCTACTCGAGCGTAAAGGTAAGTTGTAACTGATTCTACTTTCCTATTCTGACTTCTCTGAAATGCATCTGAAGACAGGAACACAATAGAGAGACCTTTCAGAAAAATGCAGATTTTTGCTGGGATACATGTGAGTCCATTAGAAATTGACTGTAGTACAGCTCCACTGAAATTTGTTTATGTATTTTGTCTTGTAAGAGAAGAGTAATAAACTTGGACATTTATGCACATAACATTACTATCAGACATTACCAGACGGATTTTTTTGAAAAACAAGGACACATTTTTCTGGCAAATAAAAAGTATTTTAAAATGTCTATCTTTCACAGGGTTTAGGGTGACTAAATTGCTTAAACTCTTTTGAAATATTTCTCTCTATTTAGTTTTAATCTTACATTCCATCCACCCAAAAAAAAGAGATTATTGGGTTTTTTCCCTTGTGGATGATTCCAACATGATTCCAAATGTTCACTTTAACCTTTGTTGCTATGGTTTCATAGAAACTTGTTTTGAAAAAAAAATAAATCTGTAAATACTAAATAAACCATTTTGCTTCAGAGTTGTGCTCTTGCAAAGTTAAGCTCCTGCATTTAACTTATTAAACTCTCACAAATATATCCATTCATTATTTTGTTGGGGTGTTTTTTTCTGTTTTGTTGGATTTTTTGCAAGTTCATTTAACTTTTTGTGCTTCCACTGCTACCAGCAGTATGCTTTGTGCCTATATGCAGACTGGGGAAGAGAACATGTGTTGTTAAATACAAATGAAATGCTGAGCGTAAATGATTAAACACAACCTTGGTCTGGGTAGGTGAGAGTGTAAATGGATTAGCGGTTTCTTGCTTCCTTTTTTCCCCTGGGTCTCTGGTTACCATTATCCAGGCGAGGCTGAGGCTAGGCTTGCCTGCATGCCAGCTGCCCAAAACCTGATACTCACAAAGGTGGCTAATTTCTCTAACCCACTCACTTTCAAGGAAATGATGAAGCTTTTCAGGCTGAAGTTTTAGGAAAATATGGGTGTGAGCACAGCATTACCCACAGCCCTTGGAGCTGTGCAAGCTTTGGAAATTTGCTAACAGCAACCTGTTTCAGAAACCACACAATTATTGTTATATAGCATGCTGCATTAAAGAGGATAAAATCTCTTCTTCATATAGTGTCCGCTCCCTGTTTTCCCTGGCTTGGGACAACTTCAGCTGTGCTACTGGAGCAGATTTACCCTGGTGGGAATGTAGGGCTGTTGGTCCCCTGATGCTGTGTCCCTGTGGGCAATGCTCCACCTAAGAAATGCATTTAAGAGTAGGGAAACATGGAGCAGAGAGGGCAGGGGAAAGGGTGAAGAAAAGCAAAATCGTAAAGAGGAAATCCTGAAAGCCTGGTTCCCTTTGAAGCTGCCCCTGGATTAAGTCTTGTGCCGAGTGGGAAGGCCACTATCATCATCCTCACTGAACGTATTCCCCTCTCTTCATGGTTGCCTGTTCCTTGTCCTTCCTCCAGAATACCCCGCCAATCTGACGGGCAGGTGAGAGTGAAGGTGGTGAAGGCTGGTCCCGCTCCATACTGCTTAATGGCACAGGACACAGGATGGTTTCTGAAACTGAGTATCTCAGCCACAGGGACTGCTTCTGGCTCAGCACCATAACAGAGAATGATGCAAACAAAGAATGTGGTGTTCGTATTACTTCATCCCCTCTGTCATCTCCACACTTCACTGTTGCACTTATCTGTGGTTCAGTCACAGTGGCAAGGTGAGAAGGTGGATGGAAATCCACAAAAAGCAGTGTCTGGGTTTGAGTGCCTGCAGAAGATCCTCTGTCCCATTCACTGTGATAGAGCTGATGTATATCCTTAACTCTCAGTGACATGTCCATTCACAGGTCTGTCCTGTGCACTGGTAAGCCTAATTCCAGGTTCCTTAAACAGATGGTACAGCAACATTATGCATAATGTCATTGCATGATCAAATAATATCCATGTTACCAAAGAGACACATTGCAGATGATAAAGTGACAATCTAGATTGGCCAGAAAAACATAACCTCACAGGGGAGTGAAAATCCTAAGGCTGCAACCTTTTATGCAAACAAGAGGCATTCCTAGAGGTTGCTAGTCACAGATACAAGACAGGTCAAACTCCATTTTATCTGGTGAAGTGGATTTTTTTGTTAGACAAAAGGACAGCAAAGCAATTATCTGAGTGCCTTGGCAGAGACATTCAGAGGCTTGGCAGAGAAATTTAGAGGCTTTGCAGGCTCCTCTTCATGATCATACCCAGAAAATAAAGGCTGCGAGTGAGATAAGTACTGGCCAGTTTCACGTTTTAGTTACAGGCATCATGCTGCAGCTGTCAGTAAAGGATATTAATTTCTGCTCACAGCCTCTCTAAAGTAAAAGGTGCAGATCAGTAGGGTACTTTCTCTGTTGGGTTGAAGAAGAAATCCAGATTATTCTGATTTCCCAATGCTGAAGTAAATTGTTCTTCATAAATTAGGATTCAGTTTTCATTTTGGAAAAGCAGTGTGAAATTGTTCCTGGGTGTCGAACTTCAAGCCTCACTGGATGTCAGATGCAGATGGGAAAGCCCAAAGCAGTGAAGGCAGAACTGCAGAGGACCTGACTCAATTCTTCAAAGATATTTTATGGTTTCACTAAACCTTGGGGTGGAGGGAGACAGGACCATATGATCAAACAGTCTACATATTCCTGCGAGGTGTATGTGTTGGGAAGGACAGAACCGTTCAGTGTAAAACCAATTCTTATCACAGAGAATAGTAGAGATCATTTTTAAAGGGGAAGAATGGGCTGTGCATAATGGGAAAAAGATCCTGGCAGGGAGAGGTATACAGTTATAAAATAATCCAGGGGAAAAGAGGGGAAAAGTCTCACTGGCTGGGATGTTTCACTTATTCTGGGCAAACGTAGAAGAAATCTGTGGAGAGCAATCTTTCCTAGGCTGAGAAATGTGAAAGTCCATATGTTGTGCTGGCTTAAATGTATTGGCTCATCTTCACTCTGTCTACCGGATTTGTCTTCCTCATCTCTGTATCACATCTCTCAGACCTGCATGGGGTGCAGCCTAGAGAAGTGGAGGCCAAATCTCAAACAAGATTTAATGGAGATATTCAACTGTGTTTGGACACCATCAGGCCACCCATCCTATTTTCAGCTTATGCTCTCCCCTCCCGCTTTGGAGAGACCCCAAACCCAAAATCAGACACCCTACAACAAACAGGAACATCTGGCAAGAGTCTGGGGTTAAAGCTGGGGAAGGAAAGGAACTGTTCAGTAAGGAGATGGGGTTCTTTTGGATGTATTGTAATTCATGCGCTCTGTTTCCTTTCTCTCACTTTTTGCTACTTTCTTTAAATAAAGATATTTTTCTTTCAGAAAAAAAAAAAAAAGAGTGGATAAGGTATTTTTAAAGAAAGATATTTTTCTTTCAGGAAAAAAAAAAAAAAAAAGAGTGGATAAGGTATTACAGAGGCGAGACCTAAAATGTAGTTTAAAAAATGTGCAACAAAAACAGGGAGTGACAATGCTATAAAAACAAGGAGGGCTGGAAGGGCAGAGCTGAAGAGGTGTGTGTCCAGCCCGCTCGCCCCACCTCTTTCTGTTGGTCCGATGAAAGATATTTTTCTTTCAGGAAAAAAAAAAAAAAAAAGAGTGGATAAGGTATTACAGAGGCGAGACCTAAAATGTAGTTTAAAAAATGTGCAACAAAAACAGGGAGTGACAATGCTATAAAAACAAGGAGGGCTGGAAGGGCAGAGCTGAAGAGGTGTGTGTCCAGCCCGCTCGCCCCACCTCTTTCTGTTGGTCCGATGAGCCTCGTGGCTGGATCCAGGCCAGTGTGGGCATCCCGTGACTGCAGCATGGAAGGACATGATCTGTGCATTGCTGAGAGAGGGACCTCCCTTTTTTTTTTACCCTTTGGAAAAAAAGAAGTTTGAACTTTTTCTGAATTTGTCCAGGAAAACTCTTCCTTTTCTTGGAGGGATACGTTCCCTGTGCTGGAACACGCATCTGCTATTCTCGCTAGCAGTTACAACTCAGGACCAAAAGTCTTTTCCCTTTTCAGCAGTCTATAAAAACTTGATGTTACGCCAGCCTTGCTAGCCCCGCACTGATCTTCCTGCAGAGCGCCAGCCTGCTGCACTTCAATGCACCTGGGGATTGATCCCACCTCCCCAACACATCACAGACTGCCGTTTTGAGTCCTTTTCCACCCTCACTAAGCAGTGGAAGTGGCTCTTTTGGGACTTAACAGAGAAAGACTTAGGTTACTTTTGCATCCATTGCTTATTCCAGACACCATGTCGTTTGGGTTTTTTTAACAGCAATTGGCTCCTTTGAGTCTTTATGAGCTCCAGCTCTGCACAGACATGCTCTGAAGGTTATCTTCCAGAGCCTGTCCTTTTTTTGGTCCTAAATCCCAAGAACAGTCTGATTACAGGCCTGCTTTAGCAGCTCTCCCAGTCCCACACATTTTTACTTGTCTCCAAGACCTCTTCAGTTCCTCCTCCCTTTTCCTCCTGTAAATTACCAGTCTGGTATCCTTATCACAGCCCTTCCATTTTCCTGGTGTGTCGGTGTGTTTACCCAGAGGCTCCCCCTTCACCACCTCCTCACCAGGGGTTTCTGGGGGGCCCTGATGGCAGCCATTCCTAGCTGAAGCAGTAGTGGTTGATGTGCCATCCTGTAACCCCTGCTTAAACAATGTGAGAATGCAGCAGTACTGTCAAGCTTCCCAACAGCTGATTTCCTGATGGCTGGAGAAAGACCAAGGCTGCTTTGGCCTCTCTTGAGTTACTGTTTCTGTTATTCAGGGCAGACATTCCTGTTAGAAAGTGGTGATACACGTCTCCAGATGACCTCTGAGCACCAGTTTTGAGGTGGGGCAGCCAGAAATCATTCCAGGAAGAGGCAGTGATTTTCAGGGCGGGAACAGGATGGCTTATACTTCAGCAAAGCAGTTCCCATAAAGGCCTGGAGCCCAGGCCCACAGCTCACGCTCCTCTC